GAACAGAATGTGTTAGCCACTAGGAGTGGTGATGCAAGGAGGGAGGACGGCACCGCAGCAGTCACAGCACAGACAAGGCTCCGGGCTCTGAAAATGCCCTTGATGGACAGTCGTATGACTAGAGCACAGAGTACGGCTGAGCAAGATGCCAGAGTGAAGGGAAATGACCGAGACTGAGAAAAACGGTGGAGGAGGATGGGGAGGAGGAGGATGGGGAGGAGGAGGGGGATGGGAACACGGAGGAGGATGGGGAGGTGGAGGAGGATGGGGAAGAGGAGGAGGATGGGAAGGAGGAGGAGGATGGGGAGGAGGAAGGTGGGGAGGAGGAGGATGGGGAGACGGAGGAGGATGGGGAGACAGAGGAGGATGGGAAGACGGAGGAGGATGGGGAGGAGGAGGATGGGGAGGAGGAGGATGGGGAAGAGGAGGAGGATGGGAAGGAGGAGGAGGATGGGGAGACGGAGGAGGATGGGGAGACGGAGGAGGATGGGAAGGAGGAGGATGGGGAGGAGGAGGATGGGGAAGAGGAGGAGGATGGGAAGGAGGAGGAGGATGGGGAGACGGAGGAGGATGGGGAGACGGAGGAGGATGGGAAGGAGGAGGATGGGGAGGAGGAGGATGGGGAGGAGGAGGATGGGGAGACAGAGGAGGATGGGGAGACAGAGGAGGATGGGAAGACGGAGGAGGAGGATGGGGAGACGGAGGAGGAGGATGGGGAGACGGAGGAGGATGGGGAGGAGGAGGATGGGGAGACAGAGGAGGAGGGGAAGACGGAGGAGGAGGATGGGGAGACGGAGGAGGAGGATGGGGAGACGGAGGGGGATGGGGAGGAGGAGGAGGGGGAGGGGGACGGGGAGGGGGAGGGGAGGAGGATGGGGAGGACAGGGAGGGGGAGGGGGAGGAGGATGGGAAGGGATCATGACAGGTATAAATGAAACTTTCATGACCTATCTTGTTTATCTTGATTCCCTTTCCTCAGATGTTACAGAACATTGGTCTGAGTCGTTCACTTGAACACTCATATTCTCCCCTGTCACTGCCAAATCCACGGGTGGGTCTTATCTACCTCAGCACGTTTTGAGCCACCTCCTAGGAGACTGGCCTATGAGTAATGGATGCTCGATGGCCTGAGCAGAACTGGTCCAGGATGAAGGGCTGTGTAAGAGAAAACGCAAAGGCTTTCCACCGTCAGTGTTCAGAAGCCAAGAAGAGGGAAACAAGAATCTCCGAACAGCCTTTGTCCCTGGTGGCTGCAGCGCTGGAAGGGCTTAAAGAAACCAAGAAGGGGGGAGGACACAGGTGCGGCCTCTCTGCCTCTGAGATACCGATAATCAGAAGGCTGTGCTCGGAGTCAACTGCTTCAAAAATACAGTGAAAATGTAAAAATAGGTAGCAGAGATAGCTGCAAAGCTCAGCGCTGAAGCACCTATTTTAGGGAATAAACACCAAGAAGAATCTTTCAAACTGCTGTAAGGCATTCAGACCTGAGGGTCTATTGCACTTGGTCAGCACTGTGCAACTTTTAGGAAAAGTGGATGAGGACTGTGTCTTCCTCTTTAGAGGCCTGTTCTCTCAGCACATCTGGGTACATACTGCCAATAACTCAAAGGCACGGGAGCTCTCACAGCTTGTAGCAAACAGAGAGGCACATTCGGCACTCAGAGAACACTGTTTCTATGGCAGATGCTTCTGAGACGCCATGATGCTTTAGTTGTTGAGAGCCCATTAGTTCCATTGTGTAGTGGGAATCCATTCTTTTCAGACATTGATCTCTGGATCCGTCACACTCCCATTATACCAAGCAGCTTTTAGCTACTGATAAGCACCTGGGAAAATAGAAACAGCTCCTACACCTAATAGACTTGTGACAAATAGACTTGATGCTATTTGTCACAATAGAGCTCAGAGCTGACACCCAATGGTGCTGAGGGAATGATGTTTTGGGGGCTAGGGACACAGGATGATCATACTGTTTTTCGTTAGTACAATATCCAGTAACGTACCTGAGCTGTTGGACACTTTACTACAAAGTGGGCTTTGTGCTGAGTGACTCTATCCATCTTAGGCTGCTTACTCTAATTGATCCAATCTTGTATATATTTAAGTGATGTTCCTTATATTCATTTTGATAAAAGAGGTATGGTATATTTGATGGATATATAAATATATCCGATGATGGGATTTATACATATAAACATACCTATAGTTACTCATTAGGAAGACTTTATGGGCTTTGTTTTAGCTTTTGAGTTAAGGAAAGAGAGTGAGCCTCAAAATCAAGTCCAAGTCCAAGAAGTGGATCCAGAAAGTCCTCAGGTTTGCTTCTCTCTCTCTACATGGGACTCTCTCTGACTCTGGATCTGGAACATCTTGAAGACTAGGACGTGAATAACCAGCACGTAGTTGGAGGGAAGGAAAGTGCTGAGGTGTAATGAAGGTTTCTGAAGTGCACTCTGGGATGCCAGGCAACGCATCTAACTAGCAGGAAGGGGTAAGCCAGTCAAACCCAGGTCCAGAAACTTCCGTGTGTGCAGCACTCCACACCCGAAGGTGCCCGAGAGGAGCCTGGATCCTTGTACTGCAGCTGAGAGACGGACGCAGCCGTGGCTGACCATGTGGTCATGCTGGACAACCTTCTAGGTTGTGCAACGGTGTCGTGTGTGTGTGTGTGTGTGTGTGTGTGTGTGTGTGTGTGTGTGTCCGTGTCCCACCACCTCTGCTGTGTTTGAAAAATGCCTCTCTTCCAGCCAAGCTCATTTTGGTATCCTGTTAGGAGTGTGAACACACATACCTGGAGCTCGACCAATAACTGAAAACCTTATAACTTGCAAAATCAGCCACAACTAGTTTTCTTACCAACACCATTAACTGAATAACTGCCTACGGGGCATGAAGCAACCCGAGGACAGCTGGAAGAGCACTTTCCTCAGGAGGAACAGCCCTCCACCCAGCCTCAACCCGAGCCCAGCTGCAGAACCACAGTTCAGTCTGTCCAGCCAGAAGCAAATGAGTACGTGCCATGCATGAAACCTGCTCACCCTCTGACTTGTCTGAACTGGTTCTCTGCTTCATCCTCATGTAAATAGCACTCCTCTTCTCTAAGCTCTTTCTGTGGAAAGACTCGGGTAGTCTGGTCCCACTGAAAGGGACACAGCCAGCATCAAAACAGCCTAATGTCTCAGAAATACAAGATGGCCCCAGGCAGCATCACCAGGATCAAGAAGAGGGTTCCAGGCAGGCCTCTGCTCAGCAGAGTCCTCTTAAGTTACAAGACTCAAACTCTGTTTTTCCTCGGGGGAAGAAAGTGATGTTTCTCAGGAGTGAGGCAACGGCAAAGGATGGGATGCATGGGCTTCCTTCGTGTTTCTGCTTCTTCCCGTTCATACCCAGCCAGCGCCCATCCACGCCGTCAAGCTCTGGTCCTGGGACATTTCCACTCCCATCTAATGGGAGCCACAGTCGGTGCTAAGGCACAGTAGTAAGCAAGGGGGCATCAAGTGCACAGCTCGGTCACTGTGACCAAACCAAATGGATGATTTCTGAGGATATTCCACCTACCTTTCAATAAATGTCTAGAGCAGTTTCGTCCTTCCCCTAAGGGACCTGGACTTCACCATTGTGATGTCTTAACACACGTCTCAAAGCTAAGCACATCCCTAAGAATGACCCCTCGGCTGCCTGACTGCATCAAATCAGATTTCCTGGTGTGCTGGAGGTCTGTATTTACAACCTCCCTGAGGAAATGTCTGTACCGAGGACGGACAGACGGGTGGAACCACCAGACTGAGATCTCTGCAAGTCCAAGTCCCCGAGGGAGAACCACAGGGTGACCAGATGGCCGGAATGAATGACGGCAGAGGACGCTCATCATTTGGTGTTTTAACTAACATGGCTTTTCATCACGACTTGGTGATGTTCATGGAAAGCTTGGTCAGAATCTCTGAGCTTCTTCCTCAGCAGGAAATGGTAAGAACACCTGATTCCTGACACTGCATGAGGGAACATCTCTAACCTCTCAGCACAATACGTGGCTTAGGGAAAGGGCTCTCTGGGAGTGACCATTGTCAGTGAGTGGAGGTTTACACAGCACACATGTCTGAGGAATTCTATGTCACTCTTTCTATTACCTTTAATTTTGCTAAGTAAATGATTCCTGGGCATTTCCCTCAAATACAAGAGTGCTGTTCCCTCGAGCTGCATTTGAGTTACTTTGGCTAAGGTTTTCAGTGATCTTGCTAATCTACAGTAAACTCCAGTGACAAATGGAATTCTAGGTTTTGAAGAATGTGCAAGAACAGAATGCAGCTTCCTACTTTGAGTTTGTAGACTAAGAAAATGTAAAAATGAACAGGCCTGTCTTCTGTTGTCATTAGGACCTCAGAAAAGACAATGTTTAACACCAAATAAGCTAAGAGGAAGGGTAATTCCTGCATAGAAAGACCACACACACATGTGCATGTGTGGGCCTGTGTGAGCATGTATGCACTTGCTTGGGCGTTGTTTTCCTCAATCCCTCCTTATGCGCACACATATTCTCCTTTGTCAAAATAGAGTCGAAAGTCACATAGTCTTATAATCTATCCCACTCTTGGACTGGAGGGATGGCTTAATGGTTAAGAGCACACGCTGCTCCTGGGGAGGACTGAAGTTCGGTTCTTAGCACCAGGTGAGGTTACAACCAGCTGTAACTCTAGCTCCAATACCTCTGGTCTTCAAGTCCATGTACTCTCTGCCACCACACATATGTAATCAAAAACAATAAAAGTAAATACTGTAAAGAATCTAGCACGTGTGTGCACGTGTGCGTGCAAGCGTGCATGTGTATGCCTCACTGTAGGAGAGATAGGCATGCACAGAATCCCACTGGCTCCCTTTCCAATTCCTGCTGTAGACAGCAGAGGTGTGGCCAGTACCAGAGGCAGGAGAGTCAACACCGACAAGGTACGGGCCTCATTCCTGGAAGGCATGGCTCCTCAGAGTAGAGCTCTGAGACCCCTCACCTGCGGGAACGATCACTCTGCGCTCATTCGTGGTCATGTTGGGGGGCGGCATGTGCTTGTCCTCCATGTAGCTGCCGTAGCCCATCCCCACGGTGTCGGGGCTGGCTCCCATCTTCCCACCTTTGGTCACGCTGCATTCATCGGGCGAGTTTCTGGGGGTGAAAAACAGACAATTTCTTCCATTGGCAAACACTCAAAGAGCAGGGCTCTGCAGGCTTGTGATACAAGGAGCGGTCTAAAGAGAGACTGCGCGGGAGAGACTGAGGAAGACAGAAGGGAGGGACAGAAGTCAAATGCAGGACTTGTGTGGTCTGAATTCCATGCCCCCCCCCGTTAACATGTTGAAAATGCAAGCTCCACATAATGGTATTGGGTTTAGATGAGGCCACGAAGATGCAGCCCATAGGATAGGATGAATAACCTTGTAAGAGGAAGACGGACTGGCGACATGGCTGAGCGGGTAAACTGTTCACTGTCCGAGCTCAAGAGCCTAATTTGAATCCTTAGCACCCAAATGAACAGCCTGGTGTGTGTATGGCACAGGCATGGTGTACGCACCGAGAATCCCAATGGTGGAAAGCGATTAAGGAAGTCACCCAACCTTGGTCCCCGGCCTCCACAGACACATGGACACAGACACAGACAGGCACACATACACACCACACATAAACGGAAAGGAAGAGAACAGGTCTCTATCCCTCCCCATGTCACGTTTTCTCCTCCATCGCCTCTCTGTGAGGATACAGTCACCTACCACCCAAGGGTGAGCCCCAACAGGTGAGCAGATACAGAGCCATGTGGCACCTCAACCTCAGCTGTCCCATCCCCAGAGCTTGGAGAACGAAACTCCTGTTGTTTCAGCTGGGTAGACCATGCAGCGGGCTGAGGGGCGCGCGCCCAGCTCAGGGAAAGAACAGAGCACACGCGTGGGAAGCCAAGCTGCTATCTGGTCCCCTATTTCTCCAGACATCGCCTTCTGAGGATGTCATGTACAGCCTCCCTCTGTAACAGCTGACTGGGAACATCTGCAGGGAACAGAGAGCTGAGAGGTGTGGTGTGGGGTCTCTCCCTCCCGTCGTGGGTCATTGGCCACCGGTCCACAAGGACAAAGGGAGCAGAAGCGACGAATGGGGTCAAGATGGCCAGTGAGCACTGACAGAAGAAAGCCCTTCCGGGGAGGCAGATTCAGTGATATAAACAGCTCCAGATTCAGTGATACAGCTCCAGTTTATTCAGTGGGGGTCAGGGAAAATATAGTGTGGAGGCAGCAGCCAAAGCCTCAGCTGACAGGTGCTCACAGTATGCTTTATTTACATGTGGTAGGGGGATCCTATCATCTGGCTATAGGGCAATGCCCAATTATCATATAGAAAAAACCTGGGGGCAGTTTTATTGCAGGTAACTATGCCAAAGGTCATGTTCCAAATAAGGCCAGGCATCTGTGCTTGGAGGTACTTTCCAGGTAAGTCAGGCAGGAAGCCCCTGCTGAGAAAGGAGCCGACCTTAACAGCAGGGTTCCCCAACAGTGTGCATTCTAGCTGAGTGATGGCAAGCCGGGTAGCAGACGGATGCTGGGCACTCGTTCAGGGACCCGCGCTGCTCAGCAAGGTTTGCTTGGAAGGAACCGTCTCTGGAATCCCCAGAGTGAAATCCCCTGCTCGAATTTCAACCTTGCACCAGGCACAGGATCTGGAGAGCTGAGGACTCACTCATGGCAGTGCCAGCAGGGAAGAGGTGGGAAACTGAGGCATGGGAGGCAACTTGAGAACAGAGTCCAGTGGCCTGAGAGGACTCAGAAAGCAACCTGAAAAATGGCAGAATGGGTGAGGAGAGGCACTGACCAGCAACAGGCCAGAGGGGCTGTTAGTGACGCAATCACTGTCGTTTGCTTAAAGACAAGCACGCCTTTCTAGACAGTGTGTGCAAGTGTGTACGTGTATTTAAATGAGGTTTGAAAGCTACAAGACCAGGTGAAATCAGATCTCACAGGGAAACACCAAATAAGGAAACCAGCTTAACCAGAAAACAAGCAGTGTGTGGATGTCTTCTCACTGCTGAGCCTACGGATGATGGCTAGTCCATCTAGCCAACCCTGGGTCACCATATTAGGCCTGTCTCCATATTCTGGTGACATCTTCTAAGGTGGATTTCTGGAAACGCCTCTTAAGCTCTACCCAACATTATAGGTTTGTTTGGTTTGGTTCCCATTTCCCAACTCTTGGAGATCTGAGAACCTCTGACTTTCGATTTCCAGCAAAGTGTTGTTCCACGTTACCTATGTGGAACCCTTGTTTGTCTCTTCCAGGCCTTGTAAATTGTAGTTCTGGAGCAACTTAAGTGTCACAGAACTATAGACCTGCTATGAACTTGACCTTCAAGTCTGAGAAAGTCAAAATGTGACACAAGGGGTTACTCTATGGACAGAACAAAGCTGAAGTGAGCTGGAGAAATTCATTTCTCATGCAGAGGCCACAGAGAGCTGTGGATAGGAAGGGTCCAGGGCCCCAGAAAGAGTTTTAAAGTATTACTAAGTTCTCAGCACCACTTGCCAATGTGTCCAGGACCTATGGAGGGAGCTCAATGCTGATGAGGAAACAGCAACAGCCATCTGTGCAGGCGACAGCCAGCATTGCAGGACTGAGGCCTTACCAAGGCCTGGGGACACACAATCCTGCATGGTACATGTTCACAGCTGTACTAACATGAATATAATTTAAAAACCATCCATGTTCCCATGGAGCAGGGCCTGTCCATTTCCTATGCTGTCTATACATGCATGACTTCCTATTGATGCTATAATATTTTCCTAGCTTCAGACATTTATCTCTCCAAGATTCATCCTACTATGAAAACAAAACTATCTTCATCTGAGAACGTTTCCTATTCCTTTGGAAAACTCCATCAGCTGAGTGGAATGTGAACTTTCGATGGATTTGTCACAAAGAAAGAAGCTGCTATGGAAGAGAAGTTGGGAATTTAGTTCTTTAGGAGAAAAGATTTTAGATGGTCGATGGAATCCAGGGTTTGAGGGAATGAGAAACAACTGTAAAGGTAGATTTAGTCGTCTGTTTATCCATTCAGACGACTAGCTGAGCGCCTTCTATAAACCAGGCACTAGCAATTCTTTCTTCTCCAGCAAGGGAGTTAATCATCTGAAAGTTCAAGGTCAGAAAGATGTGACATCGGGGATTTAACCACCTCCTTTATCATCGTCACTTAACTCGTGTGTGTGTGTGTGTGTGTGTGTGTGTGTGTGTCCACTTGAACACTCTCACAGATGTGAAGCACGGTCAGATGGACACTCAGGATATTCTATTTCTTCATTATTGACCATCTTCCAGAGAATGTTCCCTGAGTGGTCCTGAAGTCAGTGCTGGGGGCACACTACCACACAGACTGAGTGGGGCACCCACATGAGAACAAGGCAGAGCTCCTGAGAAAACTTTGGAGATGGCAATGGTTCTGTGAGCACACACATGATTTTGATGTTTGGTTAAAATCTTAGTCACTTTAACTTGCAGTTGAACGTTTCAGGCTCCTCCCCAGAGCTTCCTGGAAGCACTGTGCATGGGGCCTGTTCCACACAGATGAGAGACGGATGTGCACGAGCATAAAACGTTCCAGGCCGACAGCTGATGTAGGGCAAACCCAGCTCAGATCGCCAGCTCAAGGCGGGTATGTGTACAGGTACATGTGTACGTGTGTGCCACAGCGTCTATGTGGCGGTCAGAGGACAACCTCAGGTGCTACTCCTCACTTTCCAACTTGTTTTAGAAAGGGTTTCTTTCCTCTTCCCATGGCTGTCCATCAAGATGGCGCCGAAGACAAAAGCCTAAGCGGTCAACCTGGAGGTTTAATCTGGACCTTACTCATCCAGTGGAAGATAGAATTTTTGATTCTGGAAATTCTGAACAATTTCTGCGGGAGAAAGTTAAAGTCAACAGGAAAACGAAATCTGGGGAATGTTGTTCACGTTGAACGCTTGAAGAACAAAATCACCGTTGTTTCTGAGAAACAATTCTCTAAAAGGTATTTGAAATATCTTACCAAGAAAAACCTTAAGAAAAACAATCTTCGTGATTGGCTCTGTGTGGTTGCATCTGACAAGGAGACCTATGAACTTGGTTATTTCCAGATTAGCCAAGGACTAGCTGGCCTTCCCTTTTTAATAAGATGAAGTACGTTTAAGAAACCTAGCCTAGAAACTCATCAGCAAATAAAAATCACTGTACTCTAAAAAAAAAAAAAAAAAAAAAGGGTTTCCTGTTGTTCAAGGCTGACTGTGCCAACCTAGCTGGTCCTTGAGTTTCCTAGAATTCTTCTGTCTTTTCCCATCTCACCATAGGAGTCCTGGGATTACAGACATGTGCTGCCACATCTGGCTTTACGTGGGTTCTAGGGATCTGAACTCAGGTCCTTACCATTGCACAGTGAGCACTCTACATGCTGAGCCATATTCCCCAGACCTTCATTTAACTCTTTTTATTAAACCAGTTTCCCTGATTGGGTCAGAACTCAGTGTGTAGACTAGAATCCACAGAGATCTGTCTGCCTTTGTCTCCTGAGTACTGAGATTAAAGATGTGTGCCACCATGCCCAGTTCCTTATTTAATTCTTAACAGTTTAATTTCCCTATGTGAAGACAAGAATTCTAGTCATAGATCATGAGACTATGGACTGAAGTAGACCTTGCAATTAAATATGGATATAATGGGCTGTGACAGTGCATTTTGCCAGGATGCTCTGGAAAGCTAGCTGTGGTAGATGCTGAGGTAGACCGATAATGGGGTCAAGACGTACAGGGGCTACATAGTAAGTCTGAGACCAGCCTGGGCTACACAGTGAGTCTGAGACCAGCCTGGACTACATAGCAATACCCTGCCTATCTCCAAACAAACAAACAAACAAACAGCAAAGACTGATCTTTTTAGTAAATTTCCTTTGTTTTCATTTTACAGCCACCACACATAATTCATCTCATTAAGTTTGTAAAATCCCATACTTCATTGTAGAAAATATCAAATAAAACCATTAGACTGTCTTTAAAACTTCTATTTTTAGAGCAATAAATAAAATACAAAACATATTTTCCCACTGTATTTAGTTTTATTATCAGAGGAAGAAAGGATCGAGCCATGGTTTTGACCATTAC